ACATTATCCTGTGGAAACACAGACACTTCAAGTGCTTCCTGACTTGAAATAAGAGAATATTCTGCTCAGACCCCCCCAGGTTCTCTTGACGCCCCAGGCCAAGCAGACTTCCAGTTTTTAAAAAAAATCCCAGACGTCATATCATGTCATTTGTATATATATCATTATATATCTCTAAAAGAAAAGGGCTCTTTTCTAAAATATGACCACTATCCCATCCTCATACTAAAACCAAAATGGACCATCATCATTTCCTAAGAGCATCAAATATCCAGTCAAGGTTCAAGGTCCCGTGATTGACTTATAATATTTTTTTAGATTGGTTTGTTTGAACCAGCATCCAAACAAGCCCACCCACTTTTCAGTGGCTTCTTACTCACCATAAAGATCTCAATTCTGACATCGCTTCCTCCTCATGGCTTCCCCATCCCAGATGCCTGTTCTCGTCTGTTCTCCCACAGGACCTGTGCTCACCTCTCTGTAACCCTCACCACTCATGTGCATCCTGAGACAGACTGTAGGCTCCAAGAGGGCGAGAAGGGTCTGTGTGTCTCAGATTCAGGTCCCCGTGCCTAGCACAGAGTCTGGTCACTGGCACACACCAACTCTCTGTGTGCTGAATGAGTGAGCTCCCAAACAGCGCTATTTTCCCCACTCCGCCTGAGCCCGTGTATAAGACACTCCACATTCAGTAGAAGTTTGCTTAGAGGTCTGTTTCCCCGTAGACCAGAGACCTCATCGGTTTTGGATCCCCAGCGTCCAGCCCAGCACCTGACACGCAGGAGGTGTTCCTGGAGGGATTGCTGAAGGAACAGGGACGTTTGGGTTTTCTACTCCAGGTTCTATCTGTGTGACTCTGGGTTCGCAGGCTTTCCGCTATGGGTCTCAGTTTTCTCATCTCTATAGTGAAGGATTTGGATTCAGCATGTCTAAGGTCCTTTTGGATAGGACTTGTGATTCTGAGTAGGGGCCCAGCCTCGCCGTGGGGTCCCCATTTGCCATACACTTGCTGCCCTCTGCTGGTGGGACTGGCTTAGGACCCCTTCGTCCCCAATTTTCCTAAAAGAACTAAAGGCCGGCAAAACAAGGTCCCAATGGGTGAATGGTCTGTAGCTGGGATGGGGACTTGCATAGAGTTGCCTCTCCTGGGTTAGATTAAAACGTGGAGGGCTGAGCCTCCCTCCACCCCATCTGTCCACACTTCCGTTGGGGAGGTCACAGACAGACAGAAAGACTAACACAGTGGCCTCACTCCCTGACTGCCCATTAGAACCGCCAGGCGGGGGCTTCAAATGAGCAACAGGTGCTCAGGCCCCACCTCAGACCAACAACCGAACCCCGCGTCCCAAGCGTCCGCGTATATTAAAAGCCTTCCGGATGCTTCGGGTGCTCGGCCACGCAGAGAACTGCTGGACCAAGCCAATCTTTACATGGGTATCTTGAGCCAAAAGCTTAGAAGCACATTAAAAAGCTCATCCAGGGAAAGAACAAATGAAGACTTTGAGTTCATAATGTAAATTTCCCTTAGCCTATTTTTAAAAGTTTTCTTTCAGATGCTGACAGCTTCCCAGCCACGCAGTCTTGTTTGGGGAACCAATACCATTTACCCGTTAGGGACACTGCTTCCAGATCTGGTTTCTTTTTCTTTTTGAGATATAGTCCTATATTTTGGTGCTCAGTACCACCGTTTCTTTTTTTTTTTTTACATTTCTGCATTTGTTAAGACTGCTTTGGTTGCAGATAACAGAATTCAGCTGTTGCTAACTTAGGCCAAAATGAGAACTTGCCGGAAAGGCCCTGAGATGCCAACCGCAGGGCTGTTGCGAGGAGCAGATGGCAAACAGGAACTGGAACCCTAGGGACACCGGGAAACGGTCTCTCTCTGTCCTTTTCCTCTGCTTCTCTCTGCACATCTAATTCATTTCTTCTTTCTCGTGGCCGACTGATGTTTCCTCTCATCGATCCACACGGCAGAATATGACCACCAGCAGATCATGGCACCTGTGTTCAGCTTCGCCTGCTGGAGAAAAATTCCTTTTTCTCTGCCCCAGATCCAAATTTTCAGATCGGTCTCCTCGGGTCAGAGGCCCACTCTCGGGCCAATCAACTGCAGCCTGCAAGGCCGACTACAAAATTTGTTGGGCCCAATGCAAAATGAAAATATGGGGCCTCTAATTCAAAAAGCAGGGGAAAGTGCCATTCACGGTACGTATAGAAGTTCTTCCTTTCTTCCAAGATCTCTTGATTTGTTGTGGTGTTTTTCATTTTCTATTTAATGTCATTCTAGGTAAAGAAAAATCTAAATTTTAAATTGTTGGCGTGAATTTTACCATTCATCTTTAGATCATGCAATGCCAGTTTTAAATGTTAATATCAGAACATTTAGCTCACATGCAGAATCACGGAAATTACACAATTTGTGTTTTGTGACTCGAAGGCCAGAACAGAGAAGCACAAACCAAGCTATTGAAGATTGGAGGGAAGAAGTGAGGGTGTACCTCCCTTTGGTGTGGGGATACTGGATGGGCTGGGGGACTCAGTCCTTTACTGGTGCCCAGGGGCCCTCTCCCTCTTGCCACCACCAAACCCATGCACGTGACCCAGCCTGGGGCAGGGTCTAGGGAAGTTGAGCTGGGTATCTCCCCTTTCCATAGGCCCACCCCCTAAATCCGCAGTAGGATATGACCCTCCCCAAAGATCTTTAAACCTCTGTGCCAGGACACACTCGCTACCTGGACCAGAGGTGGGCAGAGGTTTACCTGGGCCAGTCCCACAACATACACCATGGTGCTGCCAGCCTGGGGCAGGGATGGCCGCCAACATGCTCACCCCAAGATGCTTTGGGGTACATGCATCCTGTCCCTGCCCTCTCTGTGCCTACACCCAGGCCCCCGCCGAGGGTGGATGGCAACCATGGTCAGAGGGCAAGGCTGGCAAAGGGAGGCTGGGATAGGCCCAGGGCACTAGGAACAGGAGAGCAGGCAGCTGAGAACTCATCCTGCGGGGGCAGCCAAGGTGGGACCACGTGTGAGCGAGGCTCCAAGCCCCCAGCACATGCTCCACTGTCCCTTCAGACTCTACTTCCAAAACACAGACTCAAAGATAAAATGATTAAGATTCTCAAGATGGCAATCACAGAGCGTTAAACCCCAAGCACAGGGCCCTTTTCACGGACTGCGTGCTGACTGAGCTGGCCCTGCTGGCTGGGGCTGGAGGTAGAAGTGTGGGGTCGGGCAATAACCGTCTGAAGGAACAGTTCCCAGAAATGAAGATGGGAGAGAGTTGGGAAAACCAAAAGTTGTTTTCATTTGTTATTACAAAGGGAAAATACCTCCCTTGCCCTCCAAATGCACAGACATTAAACTACATATATTTTCTGCAACTTGACTTTTTTACTCAGCAATGTTTTATGGACATGATTAAATGGCTGCATTATATTGAACGGCTGTACCATAATAGATTAGCTAAAATATTTACCATGGACTTCAAGACGTCATGTGTCCTGGCCCCTGACACCATCCTTTCCCCCTCCACCCCCCACCTCCATCCCCTCTGTCCTTGTTCTCCAGCCACCTGGCCTCATTATCTTCTTTAAGCAAACTAAGCTCAGCCCCTGACAGGGGCTGTCTGCATGCTCTTGCCAGCATGGTCCCCTCCCTCACCAGGAGGGCTTGCCGAGACCCACCCCAGAGTTTCTGTTCTGTGGTTCGGCCCAAGGATCCGCATTTCCAAGGTGTCCCTGATGTTACTGATCCAGGGAGCTCTCCTTGAGAACCACTGGTTGGGATCCAATGCCAGTCGGCCACACAGTCAGCTGCAGGCCTGTGAATGGCTCCCTGCAGGCGGAGCAAGACCACAGGGAGCCCATCCACGGAGAGCAAGAGGCTGCAGAAGGGACTACCCTTGAGAGCTGCCCCCTGCTGCTCTGGGAGGGGAGGACGGAAGAGAGCAAACCCCTCCAGATTGAGGACTCCTCTGGGATTAGCATTACCTAATTGAAAAAGACGAACCTGTCACACCAGCCAATCAGGTAACTCACTCCAGCTCTGTAGGGAGTGGGTGAGAGGCCCTGGGTATTTGGGGAAAGTCCTTCCTCAGGGAAACCGGCAAACAAGCCTCCATAACCCCTCCCTCGGCCGTCTCCCCACGGGCGAACCCACATCCTGCTCCCCAGCTCACCAGCAGATAAGTCCCTCCTCCTCTTGCCTCGGGGTGAGGGCCGGAGGGCGACAGTGTCACTCCAGTGGAAGTCGTCCAGGGCATGTTAGGGTCCCCAACACAGAGTACCGTTGTCCCCATACCTTCACCCCCTGGCATCTAATCAATATTTTCCAACTTTTCCTAATGTGATGGGTGAAAAATAGAACCTCATCGTTTTCATCTGTATCCTTCATCCTGACAACTCATACTTCTGTTTTGCCTCTTCATCTCCTTTGATCATTTCTCTAACGTGTTTCTTTCCTTACTGATTTATCATAGCTCTTTGGTTTTTTGTTACCATTGATCCTTTATAGACATTGCAAAACCTTTTTGTGTTATTTTACTATTTGTCTTTTAACTTGACGATGTACCAATTACTACCTATGAGACCACCTCTCTGAGCCTCAGTTTCCTCCTCTAAGAGATGGGGGAGAGCTGTCTCACTGGTTTGCCAGGAAGATTAAATAAGGTAGTGTCTGTTTGTAGCCTGCGCATCATCAGCCATCAATAAATGCCAGCGCTGTTTTATAACCCAACTTCTCTGTGACACTCAACGACCCCCAAGTCCCAGGCCAGGCCTGCTTGTCTTCAAGAACATAGAACACCGTGAAACTTCAGCACAACAGAATACGTGCAGTGCTAATTGAAGACAATTGGGGTAGCATCGACTTTCCAATTTGCGGGGTCTCCATTTGAGTGTTTGCTGAAGTCGGAGCAGGACTCTGAAGTTAAGGGAAGAGAGAATGCTGTGTGACTGGGGCTAACCCGACATTCTTCCTTTGTCACCACCCCTCCATCAGACGGCCCCGGAGTACTGCAGCCTCCAGGAAGGACTGCCCTACCTGGACATGGTGATCAGAGAGACCTTGAGGATGTACCCCCCAGCTTTCAGGTATGCACACAGCCCCTGCCCTGCCCTGCACCCCAGGGTCCCTTCAGCATCATTGCTTGGGGGACTTGCTGGTCCTCAGTCTGTCACCACCTATGTTATCACTAATGCTGGACTCAAGCTCCTGGAGGGCAAGGTCTTGGCTTCTTTGTGTCCCCTGGGGCACTGGACATAAGGCCTTCCATATAGTAACCAGAGCAGTAAACATCTGGCCCATTTTCCTATATGTTCACCTTCTCAAGGCGCCACTGGTCTTTTCTTAACATGACCTTCCTCCCCAACCCAAGCCAATCTCTTTGGCCTTCTAGCCATAGATGGCTTCTGCCATTCCCCGTGCCCGTTCATTCATTCATTCAGCAACTATTTATTGAGCATCTACTCTGTGCCAAGCACTGAGAAATCAGCCATGTACAAAACAGATAAAACCTCGGCCCATGCAGCTGACAGTCCAGCAGGGGCACCATTCAAGGCCTGGGAGGTTCCTCTCTGCTCTCCAACAGCCCACACCTGCCCATCCTCAGTCCTCTGAATTCCGCCAAGACTCAGCACTCCAGGCATCTGACTTGGCCATGCCTCGCCTCTTCCTCCTTGCCTCTCCTCTCCCAGCACTTTTCGCTCTAACTAACTATGCTTCATTGTCTATTTTTGGACACTTTTCAACTGCTCTGCAACATTTCACCAATGCACATCCAGTCACACCAACCCGTAAGTGCCTCGAGAGCAAGAATCAGCTCTTCTGCTTCCTTCAAACTCCCCTGAAACGAGGCATCCCACAGAGCATGGGATCTGAACTCGGGTCCTTAGAGAATGAAACAGTGGCCAGATTTCAGGCTCCAGAAACAGAAGCAACACAAAGCACTGAACTGTGTATCATAAATTCCACTCTGCAGTTCTATAAATTAATATACCACATAAACCATATGGAGATACTTTTTGCCATTTTACAAGAGAAAATGTGAATGATTTGAAGGTATCTCAAAATTATATACGAAAACAAAAACATCACAGAAAGTGTGACTGTAGATACTGCCCAAAATGTTCAGACCCAGAGCGAATATAGAGAATTCCAGGAGCGTGAGTCAAATTACATCATCTCAGGTCTACACCGTCCTGGTCTCCTGGTCTGGGAGGAGCCGGCGGGGCCAGGGCTTGCGTTGTGGCTCTCCGGACGCCACCAGGAAGCCTGACTGCAGGTGCTCCCAGATTTCCTGGGGAGCTGCAGAGCAAACTGTCATCCAGTCCTTGTTTTTAAATGATTTATAACCAGCTTCCTTCCAAGGGAACTGTGGGCAGCTGCTATACATGTTAAAATGAAGTTCAAAATAAGACATTCAGTGATAAACAGCACAAAGGCCATCTAAAGGGAAGAAGCCTTCATGGGCCCCCAGAGATGGCCGATAGCTGGGGTCAGGCCCCAGTTGGTGGCTGAGGCTCCTGGCAGAGAGGGAAACCAGCTGAGCCAAGCCGTTGTGCTGTCTAGTGGGAGGAAAGTGTAGAAACTGCTCAAAGACACATGCTTTCCTGGATCTAAACTCAATCAAGAATTCACCACATGAGACCTTGTATAGATGACGTGTCGAGTGACAAAGTGGAGAGACTCTTCAACACCAAATGCTGCAGCCAGTTCTCCCTCAGACACTTCATAACCAGCACCGTAGAAAAGGCAGGCCGCGAAGGCACTGCTCTGGGGAAGCAGGAGGCTGGTGATCTCACTCAAGGGCAGACAGAAACTAGAGAACCTGGATGAATTTATTAGAATTCCCTCATGAAGTCACTGTAGTTCCAGTGCTAGATGATGAAGGAATGGGTCTAGACAGAAAGCAAGACAGTCTCGGCCCTGCTTTAGTTTGCTGTGTGACCCTTGGTGAGTTCCGTGCTGTGCTGTGCTGCTGTTTCCTGTGTGTTCAGTGGGCACGCACGCCTGCTCCGCCTGCCCCGCAGAAGCGGTGGAGGAGACTCATGGGAGACAGTGTGTGGACACGCCATACCCTCTAAGCAGCGTGCTGTCTAAGGTACGAGGCGAAGAGCAAGGAGTGCCAAGCTCCCAGGCGAACGCAGCTCCAGGATTGGGCAAGCCACGCTCTCCCGGGCCTCACCTCCCTCAGCATCTGCTCCACTGGTATTTTCAATCATATCAGCTGTGCTGATTTTGGTATCAAACAACAGAAGTGAGAGAGGCAAGCCATCAGGATTCTCACCCAGACAGGAGGCCAATTTGCTTCAGCCCACTCATAGGATTAGGGGGGGAATAGAGAGAAAGTGAGGATTTTATTGTTTTATTTTATTCTATTTTTTATTTTATTCTGTCATGACTTTAATCTCAGAAAAGCCTGTTGGATTCTCCCAAGCCTTGACACGGCTTGACTGACAGTCTTATCCATAAAAGAAAACTCAGAATGGCCCTCGTGGAAACCACAATTCCTGTTGAAGTGTTATTAATGTGAATCAGGATTCGGTGCAGCATAATTCAGCAGATTTTTCTGGTCTTGTATTCAGCCCAGCCACGCACAGAAGGGAAGTGTCTGCCCTTCCCCTTCCGGCTTTCAGGGGGTCTGGCATCCAGGACCAATCTATCCAGCAAAAAATGGGAAAGAAGGGATGTCAGGCCTAGCCTTGGTTGATCCCTTTAGAACTGAGGTTGTGAACTCAGACCCCCCAGCTGCCTGCTCTGATTTGAGCACTGGGGTTTTGCTGCCAGCCCCACGCACAGATTAACTGCGTTAATAGCTTGGGATCTGAATGGCGGTCCTACAGCCCCGGCCTTTCACGTTCCTGACTGTTACACGAAAGGTTCCTAACAGAGTGACGAATGCTGCAAGGACCCATGGGTTGCTCTTAATTTCTTTTACAAGTGGGAACAGGGTATAATGGTAATTAGTGTAATAATTTTATCTCCCCTAAGATATTTAGGGAAGCCCAGTCCTGCAGCTTAAAGTAAAAGCCAGCATAGATTATTTTTGATCTTTAAAATAATTATTTATTTTACCAAAATGATATGCTTATACTTAAAAAAAAAAAAAAAAAAAAAGAAACCCATCAAACAATACAGAAGGATCCAAAGAAAAAGTTGATACCCTTGGTCCCCTGCCATCCTCCACCCCAGTCCCATCCCTTAGGGGAGACAATAGTCTGAGTTTAGATATTCTTCCAGAAATTTTATATTCATATGCAAACATATATAGTCTAGCCTTTAAAAATAAAACACAAATGGGATTATTCCATGGCCATTTGGAAAATAAACAATCCGACCAGAGATTTTCCTCTCTATTAGAAGTTATCCATGGTGATGCAGACAATGAGTGGGGAACAGGTTTTCACCCAAATTTCCTTGAGGTAAAGCGGTGGGGGGGGGGGGGGGGGGGGCGGTGAGGGCAGTTTAAAGAGGCTTGACCGTGGCCGGGAAGACCAGAGCGGCCAGGGAAGCAAGCCCCGGCCAGAAGTAAGGCCTTCAAAGGCACCTGTGCGCCCCCAATGCCAGGCATACGATGGCCCTTCAGGCTTGATGCATGGATGGACCAAGGGATGGACGAATGCCTTTTCACTGAGGGCCAAGCGAGTCTAAAAGTCTAGAGACTGCAGGGTCTTGGGCAGTTAATGGGGTGGGGCTTGGTCACCATCCGGGTCACCCTGGGAAGCTGGTGGGGGCCTCCTGTCCCTCTGTCTCAAGCTGCATTCCACACTTCAGACTCAGACTCCATCTGCCCCACCACATTGTGAGCTCTCCTCGTCTCTGCTCTGCATCAAGGTGGGGGTGACCCGTGTGTCCCCGCAGGTTCACACGGGAGGCGGTGCAGGACTGTGAGCTGCTGGGGCAGCGCATCCCCGCGGGCACCGTGATAGAGACAGCCGTGGGCGCGCTGCACCACGACCCCGAGCACTGGCCGCGCCCCGAGGCCTTCGACCCCGAGAGGTGAGCGCTGGATCTTCAAATGGGCCACGGAGGGACACGGAGGGGGATTGGAGGTGGCCACCAGCTTTAGTAAAGTTGTCCTCAAAACTCAAAAGTCACGGCAATCAGACCTTCGCAAGGCATAATTTCTGAAGGGAACAATTGTACCATTTTAAAAAGCCCCGAGGGAATCCAGAGATTTAGCATTTCAGCAGCACTACATGCAAGTAACAAGGACATTTCAAATGGGTGTCCTCTGTTTGTTCAAGCCAAGAAACAGAACACGGGATTGTATTTGGGGTGTGCACTAGAAAGTAACAAAACATCATTTCCTTTTTTAAAAATTGGCACCTTTTCCAAAACAGGAGTATTGCCTAAATTTCTCAGAGATCCAGATAGGCCAACATGGGCAACCTGGATCCCCCCTCCGGTCCCCTACATGGATTTGGTCTATTGTCTAGGCTCCCAATTGAAAATGTCCGAGCAGGTATTCACAGCCCCTTCTCATCAGAATCCATGTATATCCCTTCCTCGCGTGCTCTGGCAAGGAGAGGGCCAGCCAGGCAGCAGCTGTGTTTCCACCTTTGGTGCCTCCAACTTCCTGTGGAACCAGCCCCAACTCTACAACCCGGTCACTGGGAAACCACGGGCAGTGGAACCTAGATAAATAATATTCCTTTGCGCAGCAGCTCCTGGAAATACGGGAAAGATCAAGCGCTATAAACACTGCAGGGCTTCCTGCGCGACCTTCGAAAACAAAAAGCGCATTAGTATGATATTGAAAAGGGTAGGTCAAGGGCTCCTTGGGCACTGAAAAGTCCAGAGGTAGTAAGAAGTGAGCTGGCTATTACAAAACAGTGGTTGTCACCTAGCTTTACTGTCACCGAAAACACGTGGCAAATGCTGCCATTTGACAGCAGAAGCGGCAATTCCTCCCAGCGGTTCATATATAGCAACCCCCAACGGTTCGAGTTTCACTGCTTGAACCAGAAGGCCAGTGCGGGCAGGGGAGACGGCTGCCCCGCATGGCATCGAGAGACAAACTGGCAGGACATGGCCTCCAGGGGGGCAGGTGCCCGGGGACTCTGCTTTGCAAGCTGGTGATGGCGATGGCGGGTGTCACCCTCTGGCCAACGGGGAAGTTGGAGCCCTGGGCGCAGGTGAGGGCGGTGTTTCTTTATGACTCTTTTATCCTGGATCACAGTGAGCCTGCAGGCTCATTAACAGCACAATGAAGTCCCCAGGAGGGGCAGGGTCGGTCAGCCGAGTCTTCGGAGATTTGCAGGACGGGAGGAGCGGGCAGGACCGAGGCTCCTGGATTAGCAACCACCAGCTCCCAAGCCTTCGGGACCCGCCCACGAGAAAACAGGATTCTGTGGCCCGCGGGGGGCGTGGCCTCGGGTGAAGGGGTCCCTCCGCCAGGCCCAGCGGCGGCGGTCCCGGGCCAACCCTGCCCGCGCTGCTGCCCCGCAGGTTCACGGCCGAGGCCTGGCGGCGCCAGCGGCCCTTTACGTACCTGCCGTTCGGCGCGGGCCCGCGGAGCTGCCTCGGGGTGCGGCTGGGGCTGCTGGAGGTCAAGCTGACGCTGCTCCACTTGCTGCGCAAGTTCCGGTTCGAAGCCTGCGCGGAGACCCAGGTGAGCCCCGCTGCTCCCGCCGCGCGAATTCCTTTATCTCTCGGCCTCAGTTTCTCGATCTGTAAGAGGGGGTTAATAACAAGAACACCTCCTACCTCTTCACGCCGTGGGAGGATTAAACGAGCCAACGAAAGTGCCAGATCAGCGCCTGGCGCATAACCCGAGTCTGCGTTAGCTATTAGTATTGTTCCCTGTACAGCAGGGCTGCGCCTCACGATGCTGTAGCTCTTCCTTCTCCCGCAAAGAGAACCCAGTAATCCTGCAGAGTAGGTTATATTATTCCCATTCCTCACATGGGGAGCTAAAATAAAGCTCAGAGAGGTTAAGTAACTTGCCTGAGGTCACATAGTTGAACTGCGGACTCCATGAAGGCAGGGACCAAAAGTCTGTGGAATTCATTGTTGGAGCCTCCAGCGCCCAGCTTAATGCCGAGCACTTGGCAAGTACTCACTCATTCATTCAACAGACGTTAATGAATAAATGAATGAAGAGCCCGAGAGTGAAGAAACTGGGGTTCGAAGCAGATCTTGCTCCTTCCCTAGCCCTCCCTCTTTCCTCTCCGTCTAGCAGCCTTTCTGCACAGTATTAGCTGTTCCCCACACGACCTGAACGTTGCCCCCCTCCAAGCCTCTGAGGAACCCCTCTGCACAGCTGCAGACCTGGATAGGAGGGCGTAAGGGGGCAGAGATAAGGATACAGTGACGAATGGTGACAACTTCTAGATTCAGAGTGGCATTGCCTCTGGGCAAACAGGGAGCTGGGGCAGGCTGCTGGTCTGGGAGGAGTAGTGAGTTGGGCTGGAGTACAAAAGATTGAGGTACTGGCTGTGAAAATGTCTGCCAAGTTCTGAGGTTCAAGGCTGGAGACAGGGAGGGGCAAAGTGGGAGCACAGAGCCAAACCAAGACAAGGAAGGAGCCGAGCGAGGCGAGCAGGTCCCCTGCCGTAGGTATTCCACGGGCGCAGGACTCTTCTTCGGGGTTTGTCTCATTTACCCTTGATCTTGACATGGTACAGCAGCCAGACCAATGTCCCAAAATACTGCTTTATGCCTGGCACTCCCCTGCTCAAGAACCAGCCGCGAGTCCCTGAGCCTGCTGGGTCCAAGGAGAGCTCATCTGAGCCAACTTTGCATTCCCCACTCCAACTTCCCACTCGGAGGGCGTTTCATCTGCTTCTCCCTGCCTGCTCTTCTCCCTGCCTGCTCGGGCTGCTGCCCCTACTTGGAATGTCTTCCCTCCCACTTCCCCGCCCCCAGTCTAATCCCATCCTTCAATTCCTTTGGTGTTCCCTCATATCCCAAAGTGACCCCTAAGAAGTCCTGTTCACACAGCTTCCCCTATTTGTAGCCCTACCCCAGTTATCGCTTCCTCCAGGAAGCCCTCCTTGACTTTGCCAGCCCCATTGACTTCTTTTTTTGAAGTCCAATGTGTTTCAAGTTTGTCTAGATCTGTGGTGTGTGATACAGTAGCCATGTGTGGCTATTGATATGTTAATGATAATCAAATAAAATCTAAAAGATTCAGCCCTTCATTTGAACTAACCACATTTCAAGGGCTCAGCAGCCTCGCACTTCTGGCTACCCCATGGGAAAGCACAGATCTAGACCAGCATGTTGCTTAGTTGTATAACTGTCTCCCGTCTGAACCATAGTTCTCAACGACGTCTGAAAAGCCCACAAGGCCCCAGCACCAAGGCCTGGTGATTCTTCTTTCCTTTAAAGGGTTCACGTCAGCCACTGAGCAGTTATGTCACACACAGCTCAAGGGGACACACTGCTTCTTGAGTAATTCTTTGGTTTTTCTTCCAAGTCCCCAGTCCACCATCCATCTGCCTTGTAATTTGGCCCTAAGGAAAGCTTTCTGGATGGCAGCGAGGCCAGACTACAGCATGCATGAGCAGGGAACAGCATGGGGCCGCTCTCCCCAAAGCCCCTTGGAAAGAGAGGGGCCTGCTCAGTTAGGCAGGGCACAGGGGAATGAGATGAGGGGAACTGAGAGTTTGAGGCTTTGCTCTCCACTTCCTGGTCATGTGAACTTGAGTTCAAGTCACTTGGCCACTCTGAGCCCCCATTTCTCATTTGCAAAGGGAGTGGCTCCAGCTCTTACACAGGCTTCCTGGGAGGACCTCACCTGCAGGATTTTATTGACTTGGGAGAGGGGGCGAGCTGGTGAGGCCCCCACACCCAATCCCCTCGGGGCAGCTTTGCGGCTTCTCAGGGTCCCGTGGAAGGCCTCTGCTCATTCCTAGCCCGTCCATCCCTCAGCCCAATTTCCACAACTCTGCTTCAGGCCCAGTTCCCAGGAAGCTTGCTGCAGGTATGGTTAACTGTGGCAAATATTTTAATTTCATCTGTTTTAGGTACCACTGCAGCTAGAATCCAAATCTGCCCTGGGTCCAAAAAATGGCGTCTACATCAAGATTGTCCCTCGCTGACACAGTCCATGTTATGAGGGCACTCCCTAATTCAAAGAAAACCTTCATGTGGAAATTAAGATTTTTGGAAAAACATCACTGAAGCAATTGAAAGGATACCTGGCATGCAAGTATAAAAGAGGACATTTACGTAACACTTCCTAAATGCTTAATAAATGGCTGTTGCACTTAACTTTGACTTTACCAATGGTGTCTGAACCACAGGTCCACCTCTCTCAATAAGGGATTGCTGATAAATAGGCAAAAATGTAGTTTTGACAAAACATATGAGAAGCTGGTGTTTTGAAGGAAGTCCTGGCCGTGGATGGAAGGAATCTATATATAGGGCAGGAGACAAGGACACTCAGGTGAGCTGTCCTGATGGCACCAGCTCGTGGGCCTTTTCAGCTTCTGGTGCATTGTGGTGTTTGACTTAATGACATCAGAAGCTCAACTTCAAAAGTGGCTCAAAAGCTTTATCATGCTTTGATTTTCCTAGGTAGGGTAATACCAACTTTATAATAAGCTCCAATGTGTAGAAAAGTGAGAGAGGCTGAAATGTACTTTCTCTTTTAAAGAGGATCATATCTTTCAATTTTGAGCAAAGAATCAAAATAGGTGAATTTTAGTACAAGTAAATATTGTGTCACTAAGAAGTTCAAATTCAACAAAGAACTTGCAAACTGAATCCCAAATCCGCCACCAGCAGCCATGTGGCTGTTGGTCTTTCCACGTCCCTCTGCCTCATTTTCCTCATCTGTGAAACAGGGAGGCTGACCTAGATCAAAGACCCCTTCCTCTGTTCAACATCTGAGCAGCATTAAGGGGCTGAATGTCGTAGAGGTAACAGAGCAGGGATCTGTGAGCACGGACACGGATGCGATACCAGAGGCTGACCCACCTTTAGAAAGTTAGGCTTTCAGGAGAGCTGGCAGAACAGGTTTCCACACATCCACGGCTGTGAATGTTGCTTTTGCTGTTTGATCCTCCACCGCTGCAGCCCAGAGCATCCCATGCTTCCCCCATAGCGCTTCCCGGAGCCCCCTTCTCTCTCTCTGGCCTCCCCAGAGGAGGGCAGCCTCATTCCCCAGCACTGTCCCAGACCTCTGAGAGGTCTGGCCAGCCCATCGCATAGCCTCTCCACGCCCTTACCGCTGCCACCTGCTCATCTCTGTGACCCAGCCCCTCCCAGATGCCTGGCCCTGGGGCTCAGACTCACTGGAGAAAACTATACATTCCTCTTCCTGGTGACCATCTGCCTCCCCTGACTGCCCCGCCCATCTCCTCCAATCCCTGACCCCGCTATGGCCATCACAGAACCTCATCCTGCAAAAGGGCCCAACTCTTAGCCCCTTGGCTTCCCTCTCCTTCTTGGTCCGGGTGGCCACCATCTTCAAATACAGCAGTGGGGCTTCCTCATGTACTAGACTCGCTGGGCTCCCAGCCATTCCAGTTTCAACTCACAATCCTTAGCTCTGCTTAAATCCCACTGTTCATGCCCAACACCAACTATACAGGGCAGGAAATGGCAGGAAACTGCACTGACAGGGTCCTCCACCAGACACTTCAGCTGTAACCCAAGTGGGTCTTCATAACTTTCTTGTCAACTATACACCCACACACTTGCCCTGGATCCCACTACCTCTTTGCACACAAGGTTCTGAGAGTTATGGTCATTTTGACTTCTCCTCATCACAATGCCCACGCCCTCCCGCACCCACAGGAACAACTTGCTGCAACCCCACCCCTGGCCACATAAACCCTGTTCTCCTCTCAAATTTCCAGTCCAAATAGTTGCTCTTCCTGACTTGCTTTCTCAAAGGTCAACAAATCCAGGGACTTCTGCAGTCTTCATAGCTTCCTTGAGTTTTCTGGAGCATTTGATCACCTCCCACCTCAGGTTCCTCTTGCCTTTCTTCCATCCATGTTCCCAAATGGACCATTCCTGCTTCCCACTTCTCAGCTCCCAGCAGCCAGATGGTTAAAAAGTATATGATCTGGGGAGATGAACAGACATTTCTCCAAAGAAGATATACAGATGGCCAATAGACACATGGAAAGATGCTCACCATCACTAATCATCAGGGAAATGCAAATCAAAACTGCACTAAGATATCACCTTACACCTGTTAGAATGGCAAAAATAACCAACACAAAAAGTGACAAATGTTGGAGAGGTTGTGGAGAAAAAGGAACCCTCATACACTGCTGGTGGGAATGCAAACTGGTGCAGCCACTATGGAAAACAGTATGGAGATTTCTCAAAAAATTAAAAATAGAAATACCTTATGACCCAGCCATCCCACCTATCCAAAGAACTTGAAATCAGCAATTCCAAAAGTCCCATGCACCCCTATGTTCATTGCAGCATTACTTACAATAGCCAAGACATGGAAGCAACCTAAATGCCCATCTACTGATGATTGGATAAAGAAGATATGGTATATATATACAATGGAATACTACTCAGCCATAAAAAAGACAAAATCGTCCCATTCAGAACAACATGGGTGGACCTTGAAGGTATTATGTTAAGTAAA